TCTCGTCCAGATAATCTATATCAGGGATAAAAAGACTAAAATTAGAGCGTAAGGTCGATCAAAAATACATACTTGAGGTTTATTGGTACAACCTGGTTGCCACTACGGGACGGTTGCGTTATGTCACTTCGCCCAACAGCAGTCCTGGATTTTCGTACATTCAAGTTTCACAACTTTTACGATTTTGTAAGTCTGAAGTAAGTTCTTGCTACCAGCTTTCTCGCGTCAGAAGAATCTTCCATAAAAGGTGGCCTCGTCATAGGACTATCAGGAGGGTGAATTTGAAGGATGACCATGTTCTTCACCTGTCTGAGTCAACGTTGTATCACTTGACAATCGCTCTTAATTCTCCATAGCTATTTTAAACAATGACGTGCCGGCTACTATTCTGGATGGCACCAAAGTTGATTACAAACCGGCTTTTACACTGTACTACTTGCTATGAGAAAGACCTGGAACGCTGCAGTTCATACCCGTGTGAACAGCGGATGGGCCATTGGGAATAGGTGGTAGATATCTGTTCCGTTATCAGCGTAACGAGAACGCACGAGGGCAAGAGAGAATGGAATGACCGTATCTGATGAGATCGATAATAGGATACAAGTAATAATTCATGCGGTAGGCGCCTTCTGGTATCGAATTCTCAAGCGGATTTTACGACAGGATGTCCACAGTTTCATGTTCAGTTTAGCAGGTTTGGGGGAACGTCATCACAGAAATGCACAGGAACCTTACAAGATAAAATATTCTGTACTCATTCGTCAACTGTTAGTTAGTAGCAGGTAGCGAACCTGATGGCACACGTAGCATACAGACGCCACAAGATATTTCATACTGAAGGTTCAGCAAATAGAAATCCAGCTTTACAATCTGACGTGTTCCGAAATCTGGATAAGCAAGGACCATATGGAACTTGTGTTTCGGTGACCGTATAAACACCGTTGACTGTAAAAATGGGAGACAATCAAGTATGTACTACTGACTTTTTCGACTTGGCAATGTCGGACTTGCTTATGATAGTATAGCTTTGTCACGAAGCCCAATTATGTAAGTGATGTCGTAACCAGGGTATTGAGGCTCCGCGTCAACTACTCCTTTTGGTTATTCAGGATTATGGAACTAATCGATAAGTGAGGATCACAAGACTGTGCGTCCAATGGATCATCCAAGTGGTGCTCAACCACAGTTCATGTAAGGGTTGCCACGTTCGTCTCAAGAAAATTTAAAAAGTCTAGACGTAGTTCACTACTCATAAGGTTGCTGAAAGCAGTTTTAAAAAGTCTAGACGTAGTTCACTACTCATAAGGTTTCTGAAAGCACTTCGCATCTCCTTTCCTGTAGGCTTGCACTTTGATCGAAAATTTTACTTGTGTCCATTTCGTTCAGCTTCCTGCCGCGACATCTCTCGAGAAATACGTGCCGTGTATGGAACTGGTCATAAGAACAGGTTTTTTTTGACGAATTCATCAAGCCAAACGGAACCCTGCTGAATCTCCCGTTTGTGATGTTCCAGCTGGGTGTAAAATTCAGCTGGGTTCCAGGTGAATCTCTCGAAAAACCAAATCTGTTTGCAAATGAGTGTTGTTCGCTAATTTCGTGTAATTTGGTTTCAAGTAGAACATCAGGTTGACGGCAACTCGGGGACTGCGCCTAGCTGATGAGCCCGAAGAAAGTCGAAACCGGTCGTAGGCTGTCAGCAACTTTATGAGTAATGTATTACGTCTATGGGAAAGGGAATATTTCATATTCTTCACCGAACGCTACTTATAATCTCGCTGAAACTCTTCAACAGCCCAACACTGGACTCGTCTTCCTTGCGTCTCTGTTGGTCCTTGAGTTTTCATCAACTTTTTTTGCCACTCAACACCAAAGTGAAGAGATTCATCCACATACCGTTTATGCGAGACTCAGCTGAATCATGGGAGGATCTACGTCCACTTGGTGATGTTGTATCGTGGGTGGTCGCCTATGGTTACGCCTTCGCTGAGCCTGCTAGACTACGCGATAAGAAGACTGAGAACTCGGGACACGGCTGTATCACCAGGACAAAACATACAGAGCATCTGCGTAATATATAGGATGACTAAATGGCCAAATATGGTCGTTCACTTGTTCGCTCCGTACAGCCAATGGGGGTGTTCCGGTCGTGAATATTTTCAGGTCCACTACGCTGGTCGTATGTTGCTAAGCCATGTTTGGTGAGAGCCGCCAACTCACCTAGTTTCCGGATGTGTCGAACCGATGGTGACCTTGGGTATACGTCACTCTCTGCAGATGTACTTTTTCTATGTCTGGGCGCCTGCTGACAGATGTTGAGTACCAAGAAAGGCGGAACTGGTAGTGCGATTTCGAAGTGTTTTCAGTAACCTTATAAGAAGCGTTATGTCGAAAAAAATACCTCGGTATCTCGAATATCGTATCGGTAGTCTGAGTTGGAGAATACCGTACTTGAGTGTATCAACTAAATGTCACCAAACTTTGGTGGGTTCGCCTTGAATTGTAGAAAAATCAACTCACCACCACCCCCCAATTCTTTCTGTGCTGGCGAGTCATATACGTACATGAACAGCAGAGTTGGCTAACTCATTCCACTAAGTGTAGTGCAGTAGCGTGTAGTATAGTGTAGTAAGGTGGTACAACGTAGCCTAGCCTAGTGGAGAACACTATAACTCATCGGTGAGTAAAGCTCAACAGTTTGATTTGTTGTAGGCTAACTATCAAATAGTTTAGCTTATCAGCAGGCGAATCATATTCATTATAGATAACGTGGTAAAACCGATCGATAAGTGACAATCAGTTATAGCTTCAATATCACAAGGAAGAATTTTACAATTCCTCAACTGTCAGTCCAAGGAGAACTCAAATGGCTGCATGTACTGTGGAAGAACACTGTAAACCATTGAAACTGTTTAAAATAATCTGTTCACACCAATCTGACATGCAAATATTGATGTAGCAGGGGGCCAGACAAATGGGCAGCCGTTTTTTGGAAATTCACATTAGCTTTTACATCTGATCATCCGGCTTTATAGACGCTCATAACCGTTCCCGCTCATGGCTTGACGGTAAGCTCCTTCACTGTTAACCTTTTCAATTTGATGTGGGCTAGTTGGTGGTTTGCCAGTTTTTTTTCGCATTCAAACTGGGTTTGTGTTTTTGTAGTGCACTACTCATAAGGTTGCTGAAAATCCATCGACAGTCCACGACCGGTTTCGCACATTTTGGGACTCATCAGCTAGGCGCAGTCCCCGAGTTTCCGTCAACCTTAGGTTCTACTTGAAACCAAATTGCACGAAATTAGCGAATATACACCCGTGTGCAAACTAATTTGGTCTTGCGAGAGACTCACCTGGAACCCAGCTGAATCTCTTGGTTTTGATGTTTCCAGGTAACTGAATGTGCTGCACCAGGCCGCCTCATGTTTCAGTCGGTACGATGTTTGAGATATCGCGATACATACATATTTGTGTAATCCACACTATTCATCAGGTTGCTGAAAACGCCTCGAAAGCCCACGTTCGCGTTTGCTTTCCAAGCACATGTTACCCGTTGGTCTGCCTGGCCACCACTCGAAACGGTGGTTCTCGGAGATTTCGTTGCACCGCCTTATTCCTGATTTCTTCACAGACCCACGATGCACACCCCGGTATGGCCGGACACGAGCTCAAGTACCAGCATCTATACAGTCATGCCTGCTACAACACCGTGCCTAAGATATTTTCAGCTACACCCAAACGCTTGTTTCTAGACACGGATGTTGAGTCACAAGATACGACGTTATCCACGTGGGACAAACCCTCAGGCTACTGAATGCTGTGTAGGATGAATTCATCTAGTGGTTTTAGAGGTATTTCCCTCTGTGGATATCCCAAACAGTTACCCGACTGTCAACTCCGTCGCTTTCAATTACGCCATTTTTAACTGTTAACATGTAATCTCGGAGCTGGTAAGTCCTCAATGCAGTTGTTCGACTATGGGTGGCAGGCCAGCCACTGTGAAATTGATCGCTATTCATGGCGTCTTGCTCGGTGCGCTAAATTGCTCCTGGCGTGGCAACCAAGACGGAGTTAACGGTTTATCACGACGTTGTACCACGTCACCGATTTAAACCGGTGATTATGAAGCAGAGGAAACCGGAACACTGGGAAACGTTAAGGTGAACTTGGATGGGAAAGGTAGCTCAGTAACGATCACCCTGGATATTTGTAATCATTCGGAGCGGTTGTTCTATTGTTCTTCAAACTCCGGATGGTCATTACAAAAGGCATCGTCAACAAGCGGTATGGTTCGAAACAGTGGATCTGTAGATCACTGCTTGTCAGTGTGTGTGTGTGTGTGTGTGTGTGTGCAAACAGAGACGATTGGTCAAGTCCGTTCATTGATAACTCGTCTGTACTACTACTATCAAAGTCCATATGGTTGCTGGTCTACACCCCCAAGCTCAGCAAACAAACCGTCAAACAGATGGCTCACTCAACCTCATCATATTTCTCACTACTGCAAATATTTCCGTTTTTATTTATGGTCGTGCCTCGTCCGACTTCCGGATGGAGCCGACTGGGCAGTTTGTTAACTTCACGTTGATCTGGACAAGAATTTTACATCCCCTCAATGGCCAATCAACAATGGTCGACCCAGTATTCTTCGCGCGGACAAAAAGATGCTGTTAAACACGACTGAGCTAAGGATAACCATAATGAATAAGCAGTCCTGATACATCTGGTTTCTGTGAAACAAGTCAACCAGCTTGAAACTGAGTTTTCTAAGCCGTCCGTGGTCAGCAAAATTCAAGGTGCAACTAACATACTACTTTCGAAACGCACTACTAAAAATCTCACCTTAGCTTCTTTGGGAATAACCATCTGATTGTGATTGACATACTGAAAATCTCGCTCATCGCAATAGCTCCTATCACCTTAGACAAGCCATTATAGCAAACAGATATACGAGGTGGTGTTTTTCTCAGAGGTGAGTTGTGCAGTAAATTGTACCTGCAAGGAATGTTATTGGATCCCATCCAGGAAGACAGATGTCCATCGCTGGGAGGTCAGTTGAGATGCGTGATTTTGACTATGGAATCTTGCATAGGAAACTACTATGATGACGGTGATGCTGCTGCTGATGATGATGATGATGACGATGATGACGCTGATGATGATGATGATGACGATGATGGTGACTATGATGATGAGGATGATGATGATGATTATGATTATGATGTTGATGATGATGAGGAGCAGGAGGATGAAGATGAGGAGCAGGAAGAGGAGGAAAGTGATAACGATGATGTTGATGTTGATGATGATGATAATGATGGTGTTGATGATGATGATGAGAAAGAGGAGGAGTGGGATGATAATGATGATGATGATGATGATGCACTGAGGAATGTGAGCTTCCCGATGCCGAATCACATAGTCCAAGCTGTGGCGTGGTTACCAGCGCAGAAGAAATGACCGATTACGACTGATTTCAATCAGTGGATGTCTTGTGAAATCCTACAAAGATTTCGTGAGTGCTGCGTTGTAGGTGGGAGAAATGAACCTCACTGGCGTCCAGTGAGCAACGAGACTCCAGACGCGGTGACCCAATAATGAGCCTCTGTGGTTGCCGTGACATCATCGAATTGGTCCATTTTCTTGGTTATCCAATTGACAAATCGACTTAATCCCGAGAATGTTTTCGCTTCCACCTTGTGCTCCTGATGATGAACGTTTTGGAATAGCCTACACTGTCGGAAACTTGGTGTTCTCGTATCGCAAAACCGAACCCATTTGACTACTGGTCAAGATCTAGCTTTATGGACACACACATAGAGGTATGTTGAAGTGACATTTGCTCAAAATCAACTTTGACGCCTGGGACTTTACTTAAAGCTTCAGGGGGAACTTCACTTTGCGTTCAAGGTATGATTCAAGATACATCCGCAGTTTTTCAGAATAGGAGCTAAATAAACGCAGCAGCAAAAAGAGACTTCAAACGCACTGGAACTGGGAACCGTCGAGAGTTGTGGATACGATCATGCGTACATATTCTCAAACCCGCTCCGTAACACTAAACTCATCGCCATCATCATTGTTGGCTGTAATAACCGCGTACTCGTCGTACAGNCATCATCATCATCATCATCATCATCATTGTTGGCTGTAATAACCGCCTAGTCATCGTACAGTGGTTGTAGCTGCCGCAGTTTCGTTCACCGATGATCGGGGGGAGGGTAGGTTGGTGCGCATTGCAGGCGGGAGATGATAAATTAGTGCGTAAACACAGCATTGTAGGTGGACTGTTAAGTGGGGGGTTGAGAAGGAAGTTGTGCATTGGAGACAATAGCTTGGACGCAAGGGCGCCGTTCAGAGCGCGACTAAGCCATGTCTGACAATGTCTCCAACCACTGAGTTCCCATCCAGGGAGACGGCAATGACTAGCGCAGCTGAATTTGCTGGTAATGACTTTTATACTTCGCTGCCAAGTCATTGTTTGACCGCCTCTGGTACGTCTAACCAGTCCATCGCATTTGCATGCTTTGTGGAGTTTAACCGATCGGCACGAACAACACTGTGCTTTTTCAAGTCAAATTTGAAAAAAAAACGAGTAGTTCCGCTATCGTGGCGCACGTGTTGTTCGGATTCTGCTGTTACATGCCTACTGAAGCTGTTGCTACTTTATTCCACCATGTCGAATTAGCTCACTGGCTTACTGACCGAAAAACGTGCGGTTTGAGTGCAACCCATGTGTTTCGATTTCGACTGCTCCTGTCTAGGCTTAGACTGCCTGACACTATCTCTATCCTCGTTATTCCTCGGTAGCTACACGCCGGAAGAGTTGTGCAGTTGAAGGACCGTCAACAGCGGCAGTTATGTAGAAGCTGGGGAAACTGTCGATCATCCGACTACGAAGAAAGGTACATCGGAGTAGCGACGTGCTAATGACAAATCTGCTCCCTTTTTAAACTGTTCTAGGGACTGCTCCTAAGTGGAAAAAAATTGACAGATGACTTCTATCAGTTTACTTATCAAGGTACGACCCTCTTTTTTGCGTGGTTATACTGAAGTAATTGTTCGACTACTTCTTTGATAGAGGAGTATTCGACCCAAATATGGTAGTAAGTTAGGTTTTGTGTGGCATCCCATACAGCGTTTCACCAACTGGATCCAACTTGAGCTCCTGGATGGCCAAAGTTCCACCTCTCTCAAAAGAAAAATGGCCGTTCTCCGAGGAGCTGTTTTCTCTCCTCCTGCCCCAGTTTGTTCAGCTAGAAATATGGCGCTCGGTATCGAGTAAAACACGCTGGGAGTTTATTCGAATCTTTAGGCTGGGCTGAATTCATGCTAACCACCAATGAACGCGGCACTGCCGGAACCTAGGAGTACCCATCCTGCAAGGAGCTGTAGTTCAATGATCTGGCGGAATGGCCGAGCTGACGAGATCGACTATCTGGGTTCGAACCTTAACCTGGACGCCTTCAAACTGGCTGCCTGATTCTGAAAGTGCTGTATAGGAAATAATGACGTAAAATGAATTCTCCATCTTTCTTGGATAGTTCTTTCGTACTGAGTTCACAATTACCGAAATTCGATGACACGCTCTACACAGTGCTGAGTGTATTCCCAAACCGCATCTTGACCTCATTTTTCATGAAGTTAATCAACCTTTCTGACTGTAGTCCCCGGTCCACTTGTGAAGAACCACAGTCTCAATCTAAGGCCACTCTGGGCCATACTTCCAGACGCAGTGGAATATCGAATTGTACCCTTGTTAGCTGGCATAATGACGCTTGTTTTAACTGTTCCCTGGAAAAAAAACAATAGGTCTCGCAACACCCTTCCATCATTATCGGTCTAGGTGGGAGCGCATTGCTTGAGGTATGGAACTACTGACATCTGCATCTCGACTGTTCTTGTCTAGGCTTGGGTGACCTACCATTATCTCGGCCCTCAGGCTTCTTTCAGGTAGCATGGCAGCTCGTCCAGATAAATGGTTGGAATAGTATTCGAGACAAACACTCATTTGCAAATCAATTTGGTTTTCACAAGAGACTCAACTGAATCTCTCGTTTATGATGTTCTCCAGCTGAATGTGAAATCCAAGTTGATTAGCAAACGAGTGTATTTCTCGAAAACAGTCCAATTTAGGTACGAGTAGAGCATAAGGTTGACGGAAACTCGAGAACTGCGCCTACCTGATGAGCCCCAAGAAGGGTAAAACCGGTCGTGGGCTGTCAAAGAGTTTTCAGCAACCTTGTGAGTAGTTTGCTTTATGACTGGAATAGTACTTTTTTGGTGGACAACCTGAGATCATAACATCTATGCGGAACATGAGCCTTCCCCATACCCATCCAGGCTCGCTAGGCTGACAGTTCATCTTCGAATGTGTAAAGCTTTCTCGTTTCTTTACATTCATGGCAGCAAGTTATGTGAGAGAGAGAGAGAAGGGACTGACCAAAAATGTCCGTCCATGGGTTCGAGTGACTCAGAACTTTTTTTCCGTCAGGAACGAATTAATAATCATTGTAATATTATTTTGTAAAGCTTCCGCAGCTATATGTTTACGACGTAACGTAGTTGAGGGCACAGTTGAATGTTCGTTTCACTCGTTTAATGCGGTCATATGTCAAAACGCCTTGGCGAAACCCACACGGATTTTGTACTTTCGTACGAGTTCACAATAAGGTCAATTTGTTTCGAATAAATCGCATAAAGGTATTACAAAAAAACAAGAAAGGCGCAACCAAATGAGTGTGCATGTCGAAGTTCATGCAATTTGGGTGCAAGCAGAACTGCCGGAAACTCGGGGACTGCACGTACTTGACGGGGCCAAAGTGGAAAGGTGAGATCATTCGTGGATTGTCGAAAAGTCTTCAGCAATCGCATGAAGAGACTTACCAATTTTTTACTGGCTTCGCCCAGACATTCGAAAACAACAAGACGGTTTCCAATTTTTTTGCATGATAAAATTGCAATGATTACTGCAGTAATGTAGTAATGACGTGTGTATATATATATATATATATATATATATAATCTCGTGGTGCAGGCACTATCAGATCTGTCGGATTCAAGCCACGCACTCTGAAGTGCACAAAGGAAACATTGATTATGCACTACCCAATGTCAAGTCAATCGACACAGCAGGAAAATCGATAAAAGTGAGGATGATGATAACTGTCAAGGCACCGCGCACCAACCAATAGGCGCATACTAGGGATTTTTTGTCGTTGGATAAACCAAGAATGTAAAGAGGGAATTCACACCAGTCACACTTCTTACTGGAAAACTACAACTTGTATTTTAGATCAAGGGGGATCTGACCGTCGTTATGGGTAGAGTGCTCGTGAAAGTCCTCTCGAGAGGCGATGTGTCTCAGCGCTGCAAGAGGAGCAAGTCCCTTGGAAGGGATTCACTCTCGTTAGTGGAACCTAAGCCATATGCACTTGCGCATCAAACAGCGCGTTTGCTCCAGTAGAATCAGTCTTTCACGTCGCTAGCACATTCACCAATCTATCTGTGAAAAACTGTTCTATCCTCTTATCAGTACAAGCTTTGGGTATTGTTCCGCCAAGAGCGAAAAGATCACTAGCAATATGGGTTGCTGCCAGGTCATCCACCTTGTTGGTGGACAAATGGGCGGTTTTCAGGAACAGTCATATGACACTGCAGTTGAGGGAGGTGCTGTTAGACGCCGGATGATATCTGTGCCTCGATGACTGGCGTCAGTGAGTGCCACTTGTTATACTCATCATAACTGGGTTCTCTAATGACTTGTCGCATTCATCCCCTCCAGACTTTACTCTCCGGAATTTGAACCGATGCCAAGAGGTTGCTTGTAGCATCTCCTTCGACTCTGCAGCATCAAGGCAGTAGCACACACACACACTTGTGCGGCTTGACCTATTTCACAGCTGATTAGGACGGCAAAAGTACCAATCCACGCAGATTACGAGGAAAAGAGTCTCCCTCATTTCTTCGTTTGCGCGGGAATTATTCGGATAGCTTTAACATTGGTGCACTGGTGAATTCCAATACCACGAAACGATGCTGACAGACAGTTTTCTTGGTTTTGTAGAAACCTATCGAGCTGTCAAAAGTCTTCTGACCTCAGTTTCGGTTATCCAACAAGCATGTGCCCAAAAGTTCCGATTGGACTGTCGAATCATAGGCAACAAGCATGTGCCCAAAAGTTCCGATTGAACTGTCGAATCATAGCAAAGAGGAGTCACAGCCACGGGAAAAACGGACAGTGCGTGGACTAAACAACCGGCGTCACTGGATCGTGTACTGACCAGATTCCCCACACGGAGGAGACTAAGGAAATAGAACTGTCACAACGTTTCGGGTGACACAGTAAAATGTTTTGACCTTTTCAAGGAAGATAGACAACGGGCCAAAAGT